CCTGCCTTCTAATTCAGTAAGAGAAGCCAAGAATACCTACACTCACAACTTCCTTGCTAACAGCTTGGCTTATGTGTTACGTAGCATCTTAGTGTATAATCTAATCTTTAACACAATCATGCTGGGTAGGGTGATAGGGAGTAAAGAACAGGTAAAATAAGCATAACATTTTCTGCTGACAGAAAAGTGGACCTCAAAACATCACAACCTGGAATGGGAAGTCTACCACGCTGCTTGCTGCCATGAACAGTGTCAGAGTCCTTTCTTCTGCACCCAAGGCATCACAGCAGCCATGTCAGAAGGCCAGCTCCCTCAGTCTGAGCAGGGAGACCTGCATGGGCCTCACCTAACCAGGACTGTCATATGAAATCCAATGTGTGCATCTGCAAAATCCAAACAGCGAGCTCAGTTCTCCAAACAAACACCCTTCCTTCAACACAAATCAATCCTTGACACAAAAGCACCTCAAAAGTGATGAGAACCAAGTTGCTCATTGGTAGAACATTATCACGCTCATTAGCCAGGTTGTGCAGCAGCATAATGAGTCCACAAATCTCTGCAATGCTCTCTGGTGCCAATAACTGGGGTGGAGATAGTGTTGAATTCTCTTAGATGCTGTAAAAAATTGAGCACAGCCAGCAGAGCAGGCTGAGAAGTTTGTTTTCCCTAGAGGCTTCCCAATGAGAAATGGGTTAGGGAGGAGCCATGGGTTAGGGAGGAGCACCCGGTTTCATTCTGCAAACACGCTGCATCCAATCAAGATACTCACCAGGCATAGACACATATCTGTAACATCTCTACTCAGTGTTCTGTGGAAGCTAACATTTCATGTCACCAAGAAACAGACAATAAACCTCTGTGGTTCACAAAGATGCAGCAAACCATATTTTCAACCATCTCTCTGCTATATTATCCCACCCAGTCCTTTCATTTACAGCTGGCTGTGATCTCTAAAGTGTGATATTCATACAGCGTCGATGTCGTTCATTCCATTACTACTCACTGAGCACCTGCCAGGTGCCCCACACTGTTCAAAGAGCACAGCATTCACCAATGAGCAAACCAACAATATCCATAATAAAAAATCAATGTTATATGAGCAGAGTTGCATGATGTGGAAAATAAAAAAGCAGAGCAAGTAGGATGGGCCAGCAGGTGGGTTTGGCACGAGTAGGCTGGGGCAGCCTCACTGAAAAGGCAAGGCCTGAGCAGCGCCTCCAGGGAAGAGAAGAGGCAGCTGGGGCAGGGGGTGGAAGGAGAGCATCCGGGCAGAGGAACCTGCAGTGGCAAAGGTCCTCACGTGCACATGTGGCGTGTCTGAGGAAGAGGAGGCCACGATGGAGTAAGCGAGGGGAGCGCAGCGAGGAAGTGCTAGAGGTAATGGGGGCAGGTCAGCTGCTTGGGGGCCGGGGAAAGACTTTCACTTCAGTTCTACAGGGCTGTGAGCATGGCCTGACGTGGGGGTCAAAGGATCGCCCAGGCTTGGGTGCTGAGACCAGACTGTAGGGGAAAGGAAGAAGCAGGAAGCCTGTTGTGATGGCGAGAGCCGGGGCTAGACGTTGCCGAGCGGCACTGACAGGGAGGTCTGCTGGCTCAGCCACGGGGTGAGACACAGGTGCAGAGCCCAGCCTGCATGAGCTCCAGGAGGGACGACGGCAACCAAGATGGGGAGGGCTTTGGGCACAGTGGGCTGAGGGGGTGATGATGAATTCGGGGTTGTGCAAACTGGTAAGAACTGAAGAACTTCAAGCGAGAGGGTCGGGTCAGAGGAGAGCTGAGGCGCAAGCGTGGAGAGCCAAAGCCAACTCCGCCATCACTGCAAACACTGAGCCAATTAACTCCTCATGGTTAAAACCAATATTAACAGTGATAAAAGTCACGCACACACAATGGCCTTCTGCACGGAGACCAAGAGTCAGAAAACAAAGGAAAGGAATTAACTTGGCCGCCCGACTCAACGATCATGTTCATTTCAATCACTTGAATACATGGAGAAAAACTGCATTCATTACTTCTTCCTACGAATGAGGCTCGCAGTTTTGCAAATATTTACAGGAATCCGTAAGTAAAACAGGAATGAGCTCACAAGATGGGGTACTTACTAGAAACTGCAGGTCTTGGAAAGAAACATCATACAGTGATAACTGAAGGGGGCGAAGTGGGGCCTGGGAAGTTTCAGTCTTTGGTTTCGAAGTATCGGCCCTTTCTGCCTCACTCCTGTCTAAGGGGATTAAGTGTCCCAAAGTTTCCTTTATAGATTGTTTCTGATGACACTGGGCAAGGAAGGCTGCAGTGGGAGGAGCAGGGCGGAGGGGAGAGGCGAATCGGCAGTTCCACAGCTGCAGAGGATGATGCAACTTTAAAAACTTCATCTCACCCAAAAATGAAAGGCACTGAAAAGCCACCAACAAACCTGCATGCGAGAAGCTGCCAACGTCCCACCCCCTGGCCGGCTGGCACAGATGCCAAAGCAGAAATTTCAGCACTAAATTGAATTACCAAACATTCCTTAAGCTCAGCACAAGTGAAGCTTATTACAATCTGGAAAATTCCACAGTATGTATCAAATCCTAAGCAAGGCTATGATGCTGAGAAATGTACCACAGCAGACCTCATTGACAGCCACAAGCTCAGTGGTTCTGGGTGTATTGCCATGGCAACCACGTACTCAGCAGCAACATGCTGTCTGCCTCTCACTAACCCAGCACCAGAGGCAGAAGCAAACAGCCTGCTTCCTGATGGTGACAACGGAGGCAGCCACAGTGTGACGCATCTCCCTCATTCGCACAGGCAGAGACCACTGCGATTTCAGTGGTCTCAAATCGCAGCCACCACACTCCCAGAAGAAAAACACACACTCCCTCTCCTCCGCTGAACTGGCAAACACACTAGAGAACGCAAGTGCCTGAAGTGTCAGGGTCACATGCTTAGTTGTGTCCAGCAAGGGTGGGGGGGTGGTTCTGGGGAGGAAATGGAGACGTGCCAGCCCATTTGAAACGTCATCCAGAGAAACATTCCACAGTGGGGAGAGAGCAAGAAAAGCAGCAGCCAGCAAGAACACAGGCCTTTCGAGGGAAGCTGGGCCTACAGAGAGGCGCGCTGCAGAGGGCGAGGGAACGGCCACCCGTGGAGGCAGGGAAGGCCGAAAGAAGCCTAGGAAGTCTCAGGTGCTGGGCCCTCCAATGTGCTTCTGGAAGCTTCACATGATGTTAGAACAAAGCAGAAAGTGTCGGCATACCTTTTCCACCGGCAGAAAGTCATTGTCGACTTCAATTGACCTTGGTCTTAGTTTTATCGGCTTGTCTTTGAAGATGTCTCCGAAGCCCACGCCCTTGACTTTCTTCGGCTGGATGGCTGCAGTGGCGACCGTCCCGTTGGCGCCTTCGGATTTGGTACTGCTGGAGTCGCCCCCATCACTCTCGGAGCCGGTGGTTTCCCTTAAACCTGTCAAGAGGCGGCACGGGGAGACAGAGTTCAGACATCAGCTACAGCCAGGAAGCGCCTCTCAGCCAGCCAGGAAGCACCTCTACAAATGTCACTGGGCGCAGGACAACCTGTACTGGGGGTTCCGTTCAGGGTGTCGAATGTGTCAAGTTTGGGTGACTCAGTTGTTGTTCCCACTCCACACGGCAGCATTTCATTTTAAGAAGTGAATCACAGCTTCTTAGAAAATCTAATTTCAGAGCAGATCTCTTCGTACATGTGAAAGTTCACCTCTCTTCAACCTAGCCTAAGAAATAACAGCCTTTCCCGCACCCTCCTCACCTCCCCGGGAGTCAATACCACATACTGCACTTCCAATCTCTATGACTCATGTCAATTAGCAATTAGCAATGAAAGTAACATTTCCTAAAGGGAAACTGTAAAGCTAAAAGCTATTTAAACAAATTAGCAATTAAAGGAACCACACAAAACTAGGACTGCCAAAGAATTAAATCTCTTTGGATAGCTTCGCAAGGAATGCATGCATGCAGACATGTCTCTCTAGGAAAGCACTGAACCAACTCGACACTGAGAAGCGCGCACTGGCAAGATGACCGTGTTTGTTAAGGGGAGGAAACCACCCTCCCAGAGGCCAGAGCTCGCCAGGCCTCAGCTCTTCCCTCCTCAACACCACCATTTTGCCAGAGCAGAATCACTTTCCAGAACACTGGGCAGGACACCCTTCCTTGGCCCTCTTGTGCCACGTGCTGGAAGTCGTCAAATAGTGATCGGCAAGACAACAAGGCCACTTACCTCTTGAGAGTCCTCCTCCCCAGGCTCAGCCCACAAACATGTTCCTAAAAGGAAGAGCCTATTTGTTTCTAGTTAATTTCGGGGTGTACATGCTCGCTTCGACAGGCAGCACATCAGTCATGTCATCAGAGCGCAGGATTCAAAGGATGTTTTTTCTTGAAGGGTACTTTATGGAATGCTAAATTCTGCCAGGAAGCCTGTCTCTAAAAGCTTCTGGGCAGCAGGACAGCTCCTCCATGCTTACTGCATCGCTCCTGCTGACGCCAGCCCCTGGGCATGAGAGGGCACCATCAGATGTTGGCGTCCTACAGGTAAGGTGGCCTCCCAGTACATATGGACGGTCCACCAAAGAGTTGCTCGCATAAAATACAAAGTCAACAAGTAAAGAAGTCTCAGGGCAGGAAGGAACCATTAAATGAAAACAGCTAAACTAGAGAAAGGCTATTAGAAACTAACAAGTTTCATAATCAAATTTTTAAAACAATGGCTGTGTTTGTTGCTGCTGCTGTTTAAAAGAGTGGCATTTATACGCCAGAAAGGAGGGTGAGACAGGAGGGAGATTCCCTGATGTATGTTCCAATTAGCTAAAGAACATTTGTGAGCAATAATAGAGGACAGCACAACGAGGAGCACCCCACAACGAGGGTCGGCTGAAATCTCCAGGGCTGGATTTGAGTATGCAGACTTGGAGAACCCCTTGGATTAGCTCCCCATTCATGGGTTTATTTGTTCATTGTTGTTGGAAGTACCCCTGCAGGAGATATAATTTATGGAGTCTAAATATTGTGTCATTGCCCCCTTAACATGTTCTCATTTTGCTGTATGGATTCTTTCTCTGTGATAAATGGCTTGTATATTCTTTTCTGGTTGGAAAGAACCATTTGAGGGTGGAACAGAGAAACAGTTAGTGGAAAGACACCATCACCACCCCCCTCCCACTGCCGCCGCCGCCATAAGGCAGCAGGCCAGATAGACTATGGCAAGGTTGTTTGAGTTCTTCAGAGAGGAATGTGAAGCATCTCCTACCATTCCTCATTAGCTAGAACCATAACACTTTCAACCACTGCCATCCTGGTTTTACTGAGCTTCTGGTTGCAGGAATTTGTTGCCTTCTGGGCTCAACATAATAACTTGATATTAATCCCTGTGAGAAATACTCTTTACGGTACACGGGGAGAGGTTTCATAGTCATTCAACCACACAAGCATGGACTGGGAAGGAAACACACGGCAGATTTTTCTTCCATAAATTCTGTCACCCTGCTTCTATCACTTTAAGCCTGTAAATTGAATTATCTGCATATCTGGGTTGGTGAAATAACTCAAAATCTAGTTCCTTTCCTTTGGAGGGAAGGAACGGTCACTTTTCATTTTTATGTCTCTGGCCGCATCTTTAAACTCCTGGTGCCCATTTTTGCACACACTGTCCTGGAAAATGCGCCCAGGTCATGCTCAGAATTCCAGGAGACCCCCGCGGGCAGCGCGACCCCATAAAGGGCCTGGGGGCCGAGGGCAGTCTCTGTGCAGTGCAGGCACATGAGCTGCTGCCGCCAGCACAACATGTGCAGGAAACGCGCGAGTGGAAAAGCCACAGTGGAGTGCGGGGAGCGACTTCCGGTGGGCGAGCACAGCAAAGACATGCCCGCAGGACCAGATACCTGTCCATGGGGGATACAAGTAAGGATAAACACACCACTGACAGCTGGAGAAGCACGGCTGTGCTGTGCACATCTGACCCTTCCCTTCCGTCATTTCCACATGCATATGTGTGCGTGTGTGGTGTGTGTGGTGTGTGTATTACACGTGTACATGCATGCAAACAGGTGGATGGTTTTCTTTCAAGGGGGAAAGGAACAAAATCTCCTGAAACTTGCTTTGGCCGGTCGTGTCGTTTTGTGTAATTTACCTTAACATTCCAAGAGTGGTCAATTCACCCCGGGCCATTTTTTTCAAATTCTAATACTCACAGGCACGGAGCTTACTGCGTGGCAAAACTGTCTTAAGGGTTTCAACAGATTCAATCATTAATCTCATCTGTTTCCTTCCCCTCAACTTTTGGCAGCTTGATTTCACAACACCAAAGGCTGCACACTGGCGCTGCCCAAAGAAGTCTGCCATGTGGTGATTGGCTGAATGAGCAAAGCAAAACACCATTTCTGACATGGGTGTCACGGCAAATTCTGATTTCTTTGAACTCCACGATGAAGAAATGTCCCACTCAGAGAAGCAGTTAGGGGGAGAGATGGGCATTTCCCTGGGAAGCCATTGCCCACCACCCCGAAGCCCAGAGAGAGGGCACCAATCCGCACGCCAGGACAAACGCAGCCGCCCCTTCTCCGCACCGCACGGGGAGGCATGCACACGTCACGCACGCGAGAAAGGCACAAGGCAAACAAGCAGCGCCAAGGGCTGGCGATGGGGAAGCTCCTGCAGCACACACCAAGGACACGGCGCTTATCTCAGGCAAATAAGTCCATGTCCTTGGGTCAGAAATCCACACAGACACTTGGCAGAAGCATGAGCAGCTCAGGACGGTGCAGCTGCATCAGAAAACACAAGTACCCAGATCTTATCTTTACAATTGCCTCCTCCTGTTAAGGTCACTCACTGTAATAACGTCTGTGGCCCTCCGTCTTTGCCGGTGCAGCTCGGTACAGAATTGTCCCTTCAAAGGTAGTCTTTCCTGACAGTGAATGAGAGAAGAGAAGGGGAGAGAAAAACAAGTGGGGGGGGAGGGGAGCACATGATGGCAAAAGAAGGAAGAGGAAGAGTCTTTAACTGAACTTGCCTTCAATGAATCCGCTGCAAGCACTTCACCCACAAAATTAGAGACCATTAGGCAGAATTTAAGTATTTTCCAGAATGAGCCCCACATCCCCATGCAACCATGATGGTAATGAGCACCCAGAACTGGGGCTTGCCTCTACAAATGACTGGCATGTCACTAGTCAATTTAAACCTGGAAGCCAGGTCAACATTATAACTCAAGAATAAGAAAACTTTGATTAAGCAGACGGAATCCAATGAGTCAGATTCCCAAACTCAACTGCACAGCACAATCTTCTCTTTGGCAGATATGGCTTGAGCAGTATGTAAATTTAGGATCATTACTTGATCTCTACCCTTAGATGCTGTATGATACACACTGATAAGTCATGATCCTGAGCTTCCACATGAGGCGTGGCGTTTTCTTTAAAAGATCCTCAGTGCCGTTAAGCAAGAAAAGGTAACGTGACAGGAGTGGAGGGACAGGTTTCCCGTCAGGGTTGGAACCAAATATGTTACCTCCACATCAGTGTAAGGGGCTTTGTACTTGGCACAAAGGACACTATGAAACCATATTTCCTGAAACATCTTAGGTGAGGTAGTATCACATCGTTCCTGAGACGTGCAGAAGCATGAGCACACAGGACTTACCCAGTGTACAGTGCTCTCTTTGGCTGCCGTTGTTGTTACAAATACAGGTTATCAACGGCATGACTGGACACATGGCTCAAACCCAAACGTCTCCCAGCCATGACTAAGTACACGGGATGTAGGGTACATGCGTACTGCCCCAGTATTCTTCTCTTTCTCTCTTTCACTTTCACACACACACACACACGTGCGCACACGCAGGCACCCCACAGAGAGTACCACTAGCAGGTAAAATGGTTCGCTAAGGTAAGCTTAGTGAATAAATGCATTACTTCACCTCACTTGAGAAACAGGTTCTATTATGGCTTGCAAGCTAAAGAGCACACCCAAAGCCAGCCCTATAGCTTTATAGTAAGCTGCGAATGAGAAGGCAAGCTGCACTGACCAGAGCCAGCGAGCGGAAGTGAGAAAGGGGATAGCGACTTTTGTCATGTCTTAGAAACACCTGACAGGGAGATGGGAAACCCTAAGAGGAAGTGTAATGGCAGCTTCCGGGCCATGTCATTTCGAATGCAGGAAGGAAAGTGTGAGAACAGACCCACAATGTCTATGGATCAGTTATTGCCAACGGCCCTGCAATCTGCCCCCTTTGGGCACACGTGCGCCATCCAGTAAAAGCAAAAGCTTAGAGTACAAATCACTGTCCACAGAAGAATAACATGAAGAAACGGCACAGCCTTCTAAATTTTCTCTTTGGACTCGTAGCTCTTGAGGATTTTGATGACAACAGCAGAGCCAGTCACAGTGACTAGTTTTCACTTGGGCAGTTTTAGACTCTGATTAACTGGCGCCAAGAAGGCAACATGACTCCAACCAGCAAGCAGCGGCTGTTCTGTGTGCCAGGCCCTCCAAAAGTGGACAGCTGCCGTCCCTGAGAGGCAGAAAAAGGGGGACAGAAAAGAAGTCAGGATGTCCCTCAAGCACCTCGGGTATGAAGTCACCTCCGTCTGTTCCTCCCTAGGACCAAGCCCCAATGCCCTGAGGCGGGCTCCCCCTGCAAGGCAGCCTGAGCTGCGGCCTGGGTCGGGTGGCCGCAGACACCTGCTATCTAAACAAAGGGCGGCTGAGAAGTTCACACACAGGAGCCACATTTATTTCAGCAGGGAAAGTACTCTACTGTCGCTCCCATGGGTTAGTACTTGCTAGCGGCAAACATGGTAAAAGGGCAGAATTTTAAAACCTCAACACAAAGTCTTTGGCAGCAAAATCTAATTTTGCCGGGAACTCTGCTTCATCAATTTGCTAACTGCTCTCCACTCCTAACTGAATGGCATTCACACCACAAATATTACCTAGTATTAAAAAAAAAAAAGTCTAGGCCGGGGAGCCTGGGTTGAGTCTGCACAGATGAGCGGCGTCAACGAGCCGCGCATTATGGCTCAAGAAATACAGGATTTCCTGATCATGGCTATAGTTGGCCATATGTGTGAAAGGTTCACTTCCATCTGGGTCTTAGCTTGACCAGTCACTAATGTATATCAGAACCTAAAATGGAAAATAAGGAAACAGTAAAATAAGAAAGCTCATTCAAAGAGAAAGCTTGTGGCTATTAAGGATTACAGGAAGACAATACAAACTTGCTCTCACTACAGATACGGGGAAATAACTAAAAGTGTTCCTATAGCTATAGGAGTGTTTTTAAAAGCAGGACTACTTTGACAATTATTTTAGAATTTGAGATATTAAATGATATTTTCAAAGATGTTAAAACAGAAAAGATCATTTATATCTCAATGTGAAACAAAATGTGTATGAAACTAAAATGAGACAAGTCAGATCTAGATTTCTTTCCTTGTAAATCCAAATAAATCTTACAGATTTGGGATGTTTTCTGATGGTAGCAGTTGGTTTTCAATTTTACATTTAGTTATGACTAGCATGTGAGAAATTGTAACTGAAAAGGACAGTGATTACCCAGTGATAGTAAGAAATAAACTAAACTGTACTCAGGCTTAAGTTTGTCAGACGCTGTCTGGAAAGCCGAACTATGGGCCAGGAAGAGGGCAAGGGAAAGGCTTCGTAGAGCTGGGCCTCGCCCCTCAGAAAGCCAGGCCACATTCAGGACTTCACTTCCCCGGCTTTAGTGTTCTGATACCAGGCTAGATGTCCTCTGCATTACTCTCCCACCTCCAGTATGAGATTCTGCCTGTACTATTACTGCAACCACTTGGGTGTTTTGCTGCTTTGTTTAAAAAAAAAATCTAATTTTCTCAACTTTTTCTTTCCACTATTGATCTGTTAGATTGAGTTTATTTTATTATTTCAAGAAAAAGTCCTCCTTGGCACCATTTGTAGGTGTTATTGAGTGAAGAGGTCTGGGTGATAACCATCACAGGCTTCCAAGCAGCTTGACTCTAGATGGACTATGTATCGCTGCCTATGAAGGAGTCTGACCAAAAATATATAGATATGTATCAAACCAAACCCCTAGATCTAACAAGAGCAAACACAGCAGAACTAAAGCCAGCAAAAGGCAGACAACGGGAAGCTAATGGACAAAGGACCTCACGTTCTCCAGTAAAAAAAAATTACAAAGAAAAAAAGACAAGGGAAGAAGTTATAAATTCAGAGACCTGAACATCAATCAATCACAATGATTGTACCTGCTTTGGACATAAATTCAAACTCAAAAAGTGTATTTAAAAGTAGAAGACAATTAGGGAAAGTGAACACTGTCCATATATTTACTTACATTGAGGGATTGCGATGACTTTCTTTTGGTGTGAATAATATTTTTAACACATCGTTTTGTTGATATATATTAAAATACCTATGGATGAACATGCTATCTTGGGTTCGGTTCACAACAATCTGGGGAAGGATGGTGTAGCAGGTAATTCTAGCAAACTGGCCATAGGTTGATAACTGCTAGAGCTGGGTGATGGCTACTCGGAGTTCATTATAGCATTCTCCTGACTGGTGGATATGTTAGGAATTGTCTGTAATGAAAATTATGAAAACATTTTGAAAAAGCACCTTTAAGGTTTCATCAGTTTTATTTAAGGTAATGGTGTTTCCAAATTTCAACCTGCAGCAAAAATTTCCTGCTACTATAACAATAAATTTTCTTATTTGAGACAGAATGTTTAAATCAAAATATCAATCAATACAACTGCTGTAACTCTTTCCTTGGAAGATGAGATTACTCCGAACAGAGAGGTAAAGTTTTGAGATTTTCAATACAAACTACCATACATAAAAAAATGTCAGGGCAAAGGGAAAGCAGTTCAATCAATATGCACCTGTCATTTAAAAAATGCCTCCTTGCATTTTTGGAATGACTAATGAGTGTCCGGCTGTGTTGGCACAACTTCCTTATAAGGTAATGCTCCTTCTATCAAATGCATCCACTGGTTGATAAAAGTCAAGTGAATAACTCTCTGAATAATACCCCCCAAGACTTTCTAAAAGTAGAAAGGTGGGAACTACAAATACCCAATAAGCACGTAACATCCTGGGGTCCAGGGTAGGGGTTTGGGGATGGGGGGGCACAAGATAAGCTCTTGGGCATGCTGCATATGAATTCTTCTTCACATGCACTAGGATACAAGTTTTACCTGTCTTTGAAATCCTCGTCCCAAATTGAGGCTACAAGAGGCGGAGGGAAGACACACTGGGGAGGAGGCCCGCTGGACTTCGGCGCGGGTGGCAACAGGCATCTGCTGCCGTGCGACCCCGTGCCGCTGCAGCAATCCAGTGTGATAAACCAGTTACCACAGTAAGAATTATAAAATTACAGAAAAAAAAAAAACACCTCACCTCAATGTGTGCTAGCACTTAAATTTAGATAATTTTCACACGGTCTTCTAAAAATTACCAAAATGGCACACATATGGGGGGGGGGGGTAACTTACTGCTAGAGCCATGTTTGAATTAAGCAATCTCTGTGAAAACTAATTTAAAAAGGGCATTAACTGGGCTGGTCTAGCAAAGGCTTCGATTAAGTACAGTTTAGCTCAAACCTGTGTAAAAAGTGACATATCTCTGGTGCATTAACTACACCAGCCTTTCTTGGTTCTACGGTAAACTACTAGTCACAAAGAGGTTATCCGTGGAGAAACTGGGTAAACTGGACCTCCCGGTGCAGTTTTTCGTCCCCCTCCAACTAATTTGAGTATAATTATTTCAGAATAGAAAGTTTTGATTTTGTTTTGAAGTAAAGTACAATGAAAGTAATGCAATTCTCTGGGGACAGGAATTAGCAGATTCATTCCAAAACCAACAGTTCACCTGACAGAAATCCTACTTGTCTTCGTGATTTCTGCCTCTGAAACGTTCTGAGTGTAAACAGCGACTGCAAAGCCTGTTGAAACACTGAGGCGCCACTTCTCTCCTTTGGGCTGCTTCAATTCAGCAAGCCGCAGGGACAGTATCAGTACATCTGCTTTTCTGTCAAGCATCTGCGACCACTGTGGTCTGCATGCTCCATGGGACTGGCCTCTGCCTGTGTCCCACTGTTGCCCAGACACCCCCACTAACACTGTGCCTAGGGTGCTTTCTCAAACTTCTGCTAACATGTGCATCGCCTTCTTCAACGTGAGCGTGCTGAAGGCAGAATGTGGTCTTACCTGTCCTGTATCTTCAGTGCCCTGTACTGAGTCTTTGTAACAACAGGAATTAACAATAGGTTGAACAAATGAAGGACAGAAGGAGGAAAGATGGATGGCATGGGCACACAGATGAAGAGGTGGAGAAGCCATCTTCTCCCTAGCTACACACACACAGGAAGATGACAGAAGCCACAGTGCCCTCACAGAAGCGTCTGTCCTCATTAGGCTCCATGCCCTTCTGACATGACATGAGCACCCCCAAACAAGAGACAGTTTCTGTGTAACTGAACATGGCAGCTGAAACAGTTGGTCTCTCCTGGTTCTGGGAATAGAGAACTTTAATGCCTAAGGGTAGTAGTGCCAAGAGAAGCAGCCGCTTCCAAGAATGTGAAGGAAGGTGAAGTGACCGGACAGGACATTTCACTCAGCCCCTAACCTCCTGCCCCGGGACCACATGCTCTGAACTGGAGGTCAGGCGGAGTCAAACAGCCTTATTGACTTTGGAAAGAGTTACTTTAGAAGTTCCAAAAATGCAGAAGGCATTACCAGTTCTGACAGTATAGCTAACATGGCAGGCTAAGGGGTCCACAACACCCTGAGGTATAGTGCTGTTATGTGACCAAACTACCAGGTACAAAAGGAGACCCCGGCAAGTTAGGATCCTGACATGCAGTCTGAGCGCTAGAGCATCTCATACTACGGGAGGCGCAAGGCGCTCTCTGCCCTCGTGGCCCTCTCAGCTGGGCTATGCCGCAGAGAGTGTTCCATTTCTCCAAAACCCTTCCCACCTGTCCTACCAAAAGACTTTAGGATGGAATGGGGTTCAGCAATCGGGGGGGGGGAGGAATCTCAGGCTGAGACAGTGGAGGAAGAAGGTATGCTTGAAGCCAGTGGGCACTGCAGCTTCTATCTGTGACAGGCTGTTGGCGCCAGAGCTGCCAAGGCCCCAAGAGAAGGAGGTGGCCTGAACTCTCCTCTGGAGAGGCCTCCAAGTGGGAATTCGGGCACTCATGCCACTGGCTAAGCACTCCTGTCAGGGTTTCCCACATGGAAAAGAAAGATGCTTGATCATTCTGGCACGACTGAAGAGGCCCCCTACTAGACAGGGAGGCCTGCGGATGCAGGTGGTGGCATTCCACTGTGACACAGTCGATCCACTTATGACATTCACACCCGTGACCTAGGCAAGGACAGCACCAGAGATCCACAGAGGCCCACAGAGGGCACTGGGTTAGCGACTGGGAGAGCACAGCGTCCCGGTCCTGACCTTTTGTTCCAGGAGCTGGAAAGGGCGGCAGAGAGGACGTAGGGAAGGGACCTTTAGGCCCTGGAGAAAGAAAACTCTGGAGTTCATTCCCAGCATCGTGGAGGGACAGCGTGCTCACCCCAGTGGGCTGGGCTCTCGGCTCTTTCGGTGGGCTCGTTAAGGGACCCGGCTTGCTTTGCCCTGAACACAGCACTTCTTGCCACACATTTTTGTTGTTGCCATTTTTCTCCAAGTTCCTCAAGGGATGCTGAGAAACATTAACACTCTCATGTGGTGCAGGGGGCCGCCCAGGGCCAGTGCCACCCCACGAAGGCCTCGGTCACCTCGCCAGAGACTGCACGGGCTGCGCGTCACGCCATTATGGTAATCAGACTGTGGCACTGCAGAGAGCTAAGCAGCATCACCAAGAGAAGGGCAGAGGCTGAGATGGGAGGGAGGCTGGGCACAGCCCGGCGGCGTCGACCCTTCCCTGCACGTGGGCCATTTTCTTACTTGACTTGGACAGCTGCTCGTCCTGGGACACGCCAAGGTCATCGGACTCCCCTGACAGCTCCTTGATGAAGTTGGAAGGAAACATTCCGGTCTTCCCATTGAGAACGCCTTCCCACCATCCTTCTTCCACCTGCAGATGCAAAGAGAACACATGCAGGGTCAGGCGAGACATGGTGCAGCCAGTCTTCAACCCTAGCTGAGGGGTGCAGAGTACAGCATCTGCACCAGCAGAGCCGGGGACCCAGCGTTTAAAAGGTAACAGCACTATCAAGGAGCCCTGAGAGACTCAGATTCAGAGTCAGGAAAAGGGGCTTAACCTGGAGTCTGTGCCGCAAGTGGAGAAGAATTGCCACTTGATTTCCTCTAACCTCAAACTAAACTTAGGCATGGCGTCTGCTCACAGAGGCGGGCAACACACCACAGCCCCAGTAGAAGGACCTGCGAGTCACTGGCGACAGCTCCCGGGTGTCTTCTCGGCCTGCCTGAGGACGCAGGCGCCTCAAGGCCCAGCTAGCACGCATCACCACTTTGAAGTGATAGTTATCACACCCACTGGGACATGCCGTCATGTAACATATAATAATGGCTTGTTACTTACAACAAGGAATTACAAATAGAATTCTACACCAATTTGCTTTCAAAATAGCTTGATGGCTAACTACAATATAAATGTCTCCACTGTAATTTTATGTGTTTTACTTTAAACATTTATAACCTACTATTTAAAAACTAAGAACGGCTTCCCCAGACAAGCAAAACCAGTCAGCCCGACAAAAACACTTAAGAATCTCTGGACTAAGAATTCAATCAAAGGTAGGAGGACTCCCTGCTGCAGGTTTCAAAGGGTTCTAGATTAACCTGAGATGAAGTGAAGTCAGGTAAAGCGAGTCACCTGGGTAACCTGATGGCATCCTCTGGGCGGTGGGTGGCTCAGGTGGGATCTGAGGGAGCAGTGAGAATGGCCAAGGTGAGTATGGATTTGATGACCTTTGAGGTCTGAGCTGGTTTTGAGTTTTCAATTAGCTGAGATGAGTGAAAAAACCCTAACAAACAGAAAAGTTCAACCAGATGGGTGATGGGGCCAAAAAAAGAACAGCAGAAATCTGAATAGTGAGTTGGTTTGTTGGAGGAAAAGAATAGGGCATTCTGGAAAAAGCTAGTATTAAATCCCTGGCAAGGTGTGGTAAATAGGGAGCAGCGTTGCTGTTTTTTTTTTTTTTTAAACACACATGTATTATCTAACCAAATTAACAGCTACAACTGAAAGCTGAGATAATTAAAACGAAGAAAATTAGAGGCCAAAAGCCTACTTAAATCTTATCCTGAAACTTAGGTGACCTTTTTAAACTTCCTACCAAACTGAACCCTATGTGTACAATAGCTTAATGCACTCGATCACATTAGAGGTAGACGTGTTAGGGTCACAGATACTGAGCTGTCGGCCAGCTGCTCTCCTCTCCCTTGGGTGACAACCCGCCAAGGCAGAAGAACCTGTAGCTTAACAAGGGAAGGTGGTGGTGATAAGCAGACGCAAAAAGCCAGGCACACCAATAAAAAATGCCATGATTCAGCACAAAGCAAACGTTTACCCAGCTCTGTGAATCTGGGATGCTGGAGGCAGGCTGTGAGAAGAAAGAAATGACAATGAAGTTGGCCTGTGGAGCAGAATTGGCAGAAAGAGCGAAGGAGGAAAGGGGGACCGGAGGGGCGGGGGGAGAGGGAGGGCGGGCGGGACAGACACACATTCCAGAAAGGGAGGTGTGGGTAGAGCCTGTGGGGTGGAGACAACCAGAATGGGATGCTTGAACCATTTGTTAGCCACACATGGGATACGGACTTGCAGAGCAGCAACAACACCTGTGTAGCCATGCCATCTGCGGGGAAGCGGCAGGCGACGGCTGCCAGGCACGACAGTCCTGAAGACCACCCAACCCAAACTGTGGCAGTTAGCAGTGCTGTGGTTGAAATCGTGCCATGTTTCTATGCCAACTCAACTGATTTGTATTATTCTCTCAAGAAGCTTTTTATAGGATGAGGATGGTTAGGAAGATACATCATAAACCTGAATCTCACTGGCCGTGGGACTTGTAACTCAGGGTCCTTTGTGCTTGTCCTGAATAAGGAACCAAAAAATGACCTTCCTTCTCCTGGGATTCATGGGGCAGGAGGGAAAAACCAAGGGCACAGGCCACAAATGAGCATTCCTGGCACCGTCCCCGAGAGCGCAGGGCAGCTGGGCCAATTTGGTTTGAGTCAGCTTGACAGTATCCGAGACATTCCTGTTCCCGATAGTAAGTGGCTCCAGCCCAAGATCAACACAGCTCCTAGTGTGTGGGACTGGCAGGCTGCCTGCTGGGAGAACAGGGGTTTCTTCTCCTCCCCACACCCCCAGATGCCCTCGCCACGGCCACAGCACAGTCCGAGAGGACTGGCCCAGAGGGAGACAGTCGAGATCAATCGTTAGCCACAGGGTAAATGGAGGAGCCAAAAATAAAACCACTGCTCGTCGCCTGAAGGCACACTTCCCTTGGTGGGCGTGCGGCAGGGACCCTGTCAGCGAAGCTGCTCTGGACTATTTCTCCCTGTGGCCTGCTGCTTTGGTTACCAGATGCAGGGATTCACTCTGTCCTTCATCAGTGATATTCTAGTTCAACTTCCTGCACAAAGATGAGGAAACCGAAGCCCTCAGTGACTGCATTCATTCATCCCAGAGAAAAGCACCTTGCACACAATGGGGGAGATACTTCATGGGATCTATGGAAGCCCTGACTCCCTCACCAAAGAATTTTTCCCTTCCTGTGAGAAGCAAAGGGGACCAAAAGACCCTAGCACGCTGGCCACCGTTCTTAGTCGGGTACTGCACCCCCAGGTCTGTGCGGCCCTCTCAATTCTACCCACAGTGACTGAGCCACAGGGGCACTGATGAACAAAATTGATTAAGACCCCATCCTGGAGAAGTTCTGCAGGAAGAGAGCAACATCCAGGGCCTATATAGCCCTTGCTTAGAAACCAAGCTTGCTTATGTTTCTTTATTTAAAGGGAGACATGCATCCCTCTGTGACCAAGTGGGGATTAGGAATGTCACCAGGGCCCCAAGGAAAATAATAAAAGGGGCAGTCACCCAGTTTCTCGCCAACATATGCTCATGGCCAGTTTTCTGCAGCCCTTGTCTCCAAGCTGACAACAAACAACACACCCACCCCACTCCCTACTCCTGTGTCCCTCCGTGACCAACCTGGCCGGTTCTCAAAGCCATGGCTATGTCCCAAAAGAACCCACCTTCGCTCCAGAGACAGCGCAAGAAAGAAAGACAGGGTAAACACACCTGAACAGTTTGTGGTGTTTGGGAAATTGCCCTGTGGGTCCTACTTCCTCACAATTACCAGCACCTAAGAACCCCTGGATGTCCAGCCCTTAGCCCTGTGGGGAGTGAGGGGACACCCAGGTGCCTAGTAACACTTCTGCCTTCGCCCAATCTTAGCAAGCGTTATCTACTTCTCTAAGGCACTAAACAGGCTGCCAGTGAATGCCAAGATGCCCGGGCTGTCTGGGCCCCCCATTTTCAGAACAGTTCCTACTGATCACTGCTGAAGATCCTTTATCATTGTGTTATTTTTACGGAGGGGAGGCTGGTTTATAGCGCTTCATGCAATGAGGAGTTACAGGTGCTACCTGTCACCTCTACTGACACAAGGACCCCGGCACTGGCCTTGGGGCACAAAGACAGACAGTAACATCCACTCATGGGGAGGCGTGTAGCTTTCCCCCACCCAAAGTTCGGTCCCAAGTGTAGGAAGGATGAAGGAGGAAAGCATGAGGGGGAGAGGCACAGAGGCTGATGAAAGCAGCTTCGTTATGCCCAGAGCTGTTTTACCTTTCTTTCCGGAAAGGAAAATAGTCTAAGACCTGTTACAGAAAAGGCCCATACCTTCACGCTCCAAAGTCTCCTCACACTTTAGTTGGAAAGAATCAAATGAGAAATTCGATACCAGGCCTGCTCCTACCTATGAGAGGCAGGGCAACGTATTTTGCAATGAAAAAAAATTAACTTGAAAAACATTAAGATGGTTCTTTCCAAGTCTTAATAATTGAGGTATAAATGATATAAATACCCAGATCTTCTCTTTTTTGTTACTAGAAAGTGTTAATGTTAAAAATAAGATGTCGTATGCAAATTCAAAAATGATAGCTCCCCAGCAACTTAGTGAGAAGCAAAGGTAAAGTGCTATGGACAGCTGTCAGCTGCCGGGAGAGTGGCTGTCGTGATGCAGAAGACAGCAGAGGCAGGACGCACGCGAAGAGGCTGTGTGTCACTGTACACAGAAAAAGAGCAGAACTGTCAAGTGATATTTTATATCTAATATATAGTTTATGTAGACAAGGTGGCCGAGTGGTTAAGCAAGGGAATGCTAATACAAAATTTAACATTTACACACAAAACTGAATTAATAAATACTTTTTATCAGCATTTGCTTATAGTAATCACCTTTTTAATTATATGTTCAAGCTGATGAAAATATGGGGAATCCTAGCATTAAAAATATGAAGAAATGTCCAATTCTTAACAGTACAAGTGGGTCAGTTTAGACAACTCATGCCCCCAAGTAACCCACACAGCGACCAAACATACAGTGTTTCCATCACTCCAGAAAATTCCTTTGTGCCCCTTCCCAGTTAATCCACCTCCCAGCAGTCACTAATCTGATTTCGGTTACCTGTGATTGATTTTGCCTTGGCTAGAACTTTGTGTAAATGTGCTAAGACATACTTTTACCATTTGAATGGTGCTGAAAATATACATCTAGAAAACATCTATTAGAACTAGTGGGGAAACATTTTTGAGGGAACCGATTCCTGAAGGCATATACACCTACATTATTTTCCATTTCAGTTGCCTTAAATAACCATTCCTGTTGCTTTGGAGACATGGAGAGCTGGCTGCACTAAGTATAAACAAGTGTTATCTAGGTCTTCAGTGCCTGCGCCAGTATTTCTCAGCTCTTATGTGTTTCATTGATTTAGCTCTTCCTGGCAGGACCAGAACATTCCATACACATAGGAAATTAATTTTTATTCTCTCCCCTTTTCTTCTGAGCATAACCCCCCAAAAGAACTTTAGGATAATTAAAA